GAAATTAAAAAAAAAGTATTATCCATAAACAAAAAGAATGCATGAGTTGGCAGGATCCAACAAAAAAAAAAAAACGAGATTTGGCACCTCTGTGGGGCAATCAATGTGTCAGTTAGCTTACTTGTGTCCATCATTTCACAATGTATATGTAATCAAAGTTGTATACATTGAATATATATAATTTTTAATTATTTCAATAAAGCTAAAAAGAAAGGAATGGAGATTTGAGATTCTTGGAGTCATGTACATTTCCTAAATGGAAATATAGGAATCCAAATTCCTTAGATGGTGTTTTGGTTAGCTTTTGCATTGCTGTGATGAAAATACCAGACAAGAACAACTTAGAGGAGGAAACGTTTATTTGGGACTGATGACTTTCAGAAGTGTCAGTCCACAGATGGTCAGTTTCATTGCTCTGGGCCCAAGGTGATACAGCACATCGTAGGGGAAGGGCCCAGCAGAGGAAAGCTGCTCAGCTTATGGCAGTTTCAGGAAAGAGAGGCTGGGGAAAGGGGCTGCAGGGAAGATGCACCCTTCTGGGACACTCCTCCAGTGATCTACCTCCTCTAGCCATGCCCTACCTTCCTGTAGTTACCACCTAGACAGTCCATTCAAATCAGGATGGACAGATTAGGTTACAGATCTCATAATGCAATGATTTCACCCCTCAATATTCCTGCATTAACACAGGAGTTTTAGTGGGACACCTCATCTCCAAACCATGACAGTTGGCAGATAAGCCCTGGCCATTAGTCTAACCTCAATCTCTGCCACCTTCCACATCCACTAAGTTCCAGTCGAGCTACTTGGAAGTTCTCAACTACACAACAGGTCCTCATCAGGGGGCCTGAGGTCTGGGAAACTCTTCACAGCAGAACTCCTTGCTCTAAGAGGTCCAGGTGGCACCCAAGAAAAGGATGGATTGAAGGTCCTCTTTCTCACTATGGACCTTGATTCCAAGAGCTGTTCCCCGGGAATGAGTTCCAGGAACAGATGCAGACCTCAGAGACAAGTGAGTGCATCCCAAGCTACAGATGTGGGGCCTGGCAACTGAACCGACAACTCAAATAGCATCCCTCCCAGATGAGCCAGGCCAGCTGGTCTGTTCCACTGCTCAGGATCGTGCCTTAGAAACATGCCTGCCTTTTATTTTCTGATGTGTCAGAATTCACCCTTTCATTGTTCCAGAACATTCTGGAGCACAGAAGGCTAATTACCCTTCGTAGGGTGACATCTATTTGAGATGAGTGAAGGCTCAGATCCAGAACCTCCCTCCCTCTGTCATCCTGAAGGTGGCCACAGAGCAACCCTCAGTCCCTCCTTTGCCAGGCTTTCCTTTTCAGTGGTTCAGGAATCAAGAAGAGGAGAAAAGCACACCATAGAGGTTAGTGATGTAAACAAACCCTAAGAGGTAAATATATTTTACTGAAAGTGGGGTACCAAGTAAGTATCTCTGGTCTGAAGACTGATACTAGAGAAAAGCAGAAAAAATTATGCATCGGTTTTAGTCTTAACCATAGAGCTTGATGAAAACCTTCACTTGGGCTTGAAGGGAGAAGGACAGCAGGCTCTGCTGCTCCTGTTGGTCTCTGTTTTGGAGTCACAGCATAGCAAGGTGAAGACAGACCCATCCGAAGGTGAAGACAAAGAGAGGAGGTTTCTTTGGAATTCTTTCAGTCTTCTTTGAGGAGTCTCTAGTGCAACAACCTTTATGGGGTAAATGTAAACTCCAGTTGCAATTATCTTTATTCCTTGTCAACCCAATAACCACTCTGAACCTAAAATTTGAAATGGGAATCAAAGATAACTCTGAAGGATGAACATGTGCCAAAAAAATTTTACTAGACACTATATACTTAATATTATTTAATTCACCCAATTGGACTCTGAGTGAGGAGGTTTTGTTCTATCTTACAGAAAAAAAAAAAAACAGAAAAGTGGGTCTCAGAAAAGTTAAGTGCTTATATGCTTATAACCATACTACCTGTGAGCAATAGGAAAAATCAAACCCAGTTTTGCGTGACTCTGAATCCTACACTCACAACCACTCCTTCCTTGCATCATTAATTAATATCAGGACTCGCCTGGACAAGGATGATGTAAAGAACTGGAGAACAAACCTTGGACATAGCTAGTAGCAAGGAAGCATTCATGCTTTGAGAGTGCTGCCAGGTAGGTTTGACTGATGCCAAGATCCAGATCCCCTCCCCTGTAATGGTAACTCCAGGCCACAGGGGAACACCTGCAGGTTACTACAGGGCTCCACAATCTCCTGTCCAACCCTAAAAAAAAAATAATAAAAAATGCAGGAAGCCTCAAGGGCTTCTTGATAATGCCCAGTTACCCTACGGGGTGATTTGAATCCACTGGTTTTCTTCAAAATGAAAACTGAAGAAGCCAGACTCAAAAAGCTACACACTGTTATTCCATATATGTGGTCGTCTGGAAAAAGCAAAACCACATCAGTGGTTACCAGATGCTGGAGGGCAGGCATTAGGAATTAACTGTGAAAGGGCATGAGAAGACTTTTTTTTTTAGGTATGATGAAAATGTCTTTTTTCTCTTATTGTGGTAGACTTTACATAACCATACATTTGTCAAAACTCATTGACTTGTACACTTAAAATTGGCAAATTTTACCATGTGTAAATTACACCTCAAAAAAGATTATATAAATATATGTGCATATATTTATTTATATCTACCCACACATACATATATACATATTTCAAATAGGCACTAGCTGATAAATCTGGAACTAAAATTTCCATTGTGTAACTGTATTGCAGTCAACCTGTGTCTGAATCCCTGAGTGGGTCCACCTTCTCAGCAGGGAAATTTCCTGCAGGCAGCCACTGCCAGCTGATTCACCAGGTCCAGGGGGAAGGAGGATCTGAAGTGAATTTTCAGGCAAATGCCTCTGTAGCGGTTCGAATAAGAAGCTGATTGCTAGGGTTACCTCAGCTTCCTGCCTTCTCTCCCGAATCTTCAGAGGTCATACTGTGTACTTGCCAAGAAGCACTCATCTGGAAAATTGCCTTAAGCCAGATTAAATATAACATCACTGTTTTTAACCTATATCTCACATGGCATACATGTCTTTATCTTCATATCTTGCTGCATTTTGAAGGCCATACCTGTCTCTACGCTCAGCCCTGAAAAGATAGGAGAAAAATCTTGCTAAAAATACTAAGCATTGTAGCTTCCAGCTGCCTCAGAAAGCTTGGTATGGATGTAAAATGAGCATTTCAGCAAGAAGAACCACATGAGCCTAGTCTATCTGTCCTTCCAGTTCTAGGTCACTTGTTCCCCACCCCCCCACAATGTTCTCTTTGGTAAAGGTACTTCTCAATTTTATACAGCCAGTCAGAGCCTTTGCTTTCTGTCCAAGACCTTCTGTTTAGGGAATATCCAGAGGCTTCTGACCCATGTTAATAGCTCAATTGGAAAGGAACATAAGCCACACAAATATAGTCTAGCATTGGTAATAATCAGATAAGTCATGCAAAAATTAATAAGTACATAAGGTCATCTCCCAAAAGATAATAGGGGGCAGTCTTCCACAATAAAAGCTGCCAGAATGAATGGATTTTAAAGGGAAATGAAAACTAAAGAGCCAGAACAACTTTGGACTCTTAAAAATTATTAATATTTTCTGCTGCTAGGTAGATGACCTCCTGGTCACAGGTGTTGGGGAGGTAGCCATTCCCTGTACCCCATAGCAAGATGTGGACCACCTTGTTAAGAGTTTGATTTTTTTTAATTAAAAAAAGTAAGCAAACAAAAGATGAATTTTTCAAAGCACACTTTAATCACTTATTTAAAAAGGAGAAGTACAGTGTTTGATCCAATTCTATACACAAGAACTTGAACATAAATAGAAAATAGCCACAACCAGGTGATAAAGCCATCCAAAAGCATGGAAGTACCCAGCCCACAAGGCTTTAAACCACTGCACAGATTTCTTAGATTTCCTACATCCCTTCCTGGAAAAAGAAAAAAAAAACTTTTAAATTTTGTTTTCTTACGAGTTCCCCACAAAGACAAAAGTCACGTGAAACAGTTGAAGTCAGTGAATGCCTCATGTATGCTCCTAGGTCTCTATTTTAGAACCAGAAATGCCATCATTTTTTCATAGTCATCTGATTTTCTTACCATTTTAGAGCCACGTAAATAAAAGTTCATAATAAGACAAAAGAAAATTATTTTTTTTACTTATATCTGTTCCATAGAAAACTGGTTAAATTTTTTAAATAATAAAAAGCAAGCAGTAGAGGGGGGTTGGGGGAATTGGTTGGTCAGACTGGTTCTAAATTTCTGAACTGCTTTGGAATTAAATTACAAGGTAGAGGATTCCACTGACTCTTCTGTAGGTGGACAATGAGAGAAAAGTAAAGTCCAGAACCTCATCCGAAGATCCTCCTGAGATTTATTTGGGGTGTACAACTTAGTGCATAAAAGGTCTTTTCTCCAGAAAACTCAGAGCACCTTGCATATATAATTTAGCAGGTAAAATTTACTTGACTGGTATGTACAAAGCGTCTTTCCAGGAGCTTAGGGGAAATTTGGTCCCTCAACCTCCTTCAGATGTTAATCTGCCTAATTAAGCCCCAGGTTGCTTTCAGGCATGCATCAGTGAGGCTACATGGATAAGGATGGTCATTCAGCAAATTTTCCTGTACAAAGAATCCCTAGAATCCATACTGAGTTCTCTGTAATTTCCAGATGTCACCTCACTACAGGTTTTATTAGACCCATGGTACCCCAGACCTCTGACAATCCCACCCTAGAAGAACTTTATTTTAGTTGGGAAGTGCATCCCAAAACACAGATGACTCTCAAGAGAAATCATCATCAAATGAGGGCAAATATCCTAAGTCCCTAGAGTGGTAGAACTATGCACCTAAATATCACTACTAAAGAAACACACTTCTAGATTCCTCTGCAGATATGTAAAAAGTGGAGATCATTTTCAACAAACATTTTATTTCTATTTCATCCTAATGCCTAGCAGTTTCCTGGGGTTGCTGTAGGAAGATAAGATTATAATTCAGAAGGTAGCCATCATTATAGACATAGAGTTTTTGGTCAAAGGGGTGATAATTGATGCTCTGCACTCTTTCCTTCACCTTATTCATTGTAATGCTCAGATGCCCTTCTTTCCCTGTGTTTGTGTCATAGTAGTAAAAAATCTCTTCTGTTCTGGTGTTCAACGTACGGGTGGCATAGAGAACCCCACAAACCATGAAGGCATTAGAAACAGACGGTTTGTACTGCTTCGTAAACCAAGTATTCAGTACCTCGAGGGTGGTGTCATTGAGTTTGCTTATCACTATGTTACCAGTGCTGGCTTCCGTGGCATAAATCACCCACAGTCCATGCTCATCCACAGCAAAGTCAATATCTTGCCAAGCAACATTAGCGTATGAAAAACGGTTATTATAGGCAGCATTAGGCAACGCTCGAGTCACAGCAACCCTGTTAGTGGTCAGGTTAATTTTGGCAATATTCCCAGTGTTGTACCAATTAACATACATGTTGTTGTTGTAAACTGCTGTACCACTGCCTTGGCCATAGCCAATCTGAGAGCTTCGAGCATTTGAGTACAATAGCAAATCATCCAGAGTGTCGTGGAGTCTGTAATATTGCAATGTCCTCCCATTCGTCTCCAAAGGCGCCACCCAATACTGCCCTGTCTTTGGATTCTGGGGAGAGTAATCCCGACCCCAGGCACCGTAAAGAAAGGAAAACCCTCTCCAGTTGAGCTGAACCACAGACGGTTTGCTGATGTTCATCACACCACCGTGACTACAGCTTCCTATAGAACGAGAAAAGGAAAAAGGCTTTCTTAGAGACAATGAATGACAGCATACAAACCATTTAATATTCTAAGAACCAAAGGCATCCATCAATATTTTCCCTGTCAAGGTTCAGTGACAACAGTGGCTCTGCTGTAGAAGAACCAAACTTCTCTTCAGTTTCAGTCTCAAAGTGAATCCACTGTCACATCTACAGAGAACGACTTTCTGTTTCTATGAATGGGCTTTTCCATCACGGAAATGGAGATAATGAAACTGCCAAGAGCCATATCTAAAAGTTTGGAGGAGTCCAGAGAGAGAAAAAGGGAAACTTGACAAATTTAATATATTGTCTTCTACAAAAAAAAAATAAAATAAAATTGCAAATATTATCTTTTTTTTTTTTTCATTTTCTTATAGCAGAATCAAGAAGGTACAACCATCTCAAAAGCTTGCCCTGAAGGTGCTACTTTTCCAGGGTCAACCCCAGGGAGAATTGTGATGAAGGAGAAGATGATCTTTGCCTAGTCTCCATGTCTGCCTTCCCTATAACCCCCAAGTGAATATCCACATCAATCCTGCTCCAAGCCAATCTCAGGAGAGGAAGTTTTAAATATAGTATTTTATAGATCCAAAAAGATGGTCTAGAATGGTGGGGTTTCAGCCTGGAGAAGCCATGAAGCTATTTTCAAGACAGCATTGCCTGCTTTGTGCCCACCATATAGCCCATCGCATAAATCGCTTGGTGACCATCTTGCTGCAGAGTTATGAGGCGAGTCCTGCTGTTCGTAACCCATATGCTGCTGTGCCCCAGCATGACAGGCAAGTATTTCATCCTTCCCATTCTGACATGGTCATTGTCATAATGTGTACAATCAAGTGGGACCAGATGCACTGGTCCATTGAATCTGCATTCCCTGAAACACTGTGTAAATGACTCAGCCTGGGCAACCGGCCCCTAACATTGAACTCCCTCTGAAATGCCTGCCAACCCAAAGTGCTTATAAATGAAGCATATAAATAAATGCATAAAAAAATGAAATAAAATTCCTCCCAGGTTTTAATAATAACTATCCAAAGAGTTGAATGCATATTTTGGGGGGTCTTAACAAATACTCTTTAAAAAAAATGGTAAGGTTGTTTACAAGATAAAAAAAAAGAAAACTCAAATTCAACTTCAGGTATATTTAAGGTCATTTTCCTTCATTCTGCTGCTCAGAGCAGAGCAGGTGAGGAAGAAGGGAACAGAACCTGAATCACTGGATCTGGCTTTAAATGCTTGGAGGGAATTAGGGGAGCTATGGAGAACACATGAGTGAGCTGGAACCAAAGGCAGAGTTCCAAAGAATTGCCTGAGATGAGAGCACTGAGGGGTTTAGGGGAGCCAGGCACTGGTCTCTGAGCCTCTGCCTCTGCCCAATATGGAGAGACTCATTCCTTTCCTTGCTGAATGCTTCCCCCTCTACCTTCTTCACTCAAGGACTGACTGCTCAGAGGGGAAACCATTACTAGAAATCCTGCTTTTATTTTTCCAATCTGCTGGGACATTTTGGTCCCAGAATTAAATACGTGCTCTTTAAATGCTCTCATAAATACACAGTTGGTGAGAAAACCAGCCAACCATACAACAGGTAGAGAAATGAAACCACTCTGTACCCAACCTCAAATAATTTTGCATATCATTAAACAGAACACAGTCACAGGTTTATTTTAATAATGCATGCACCATTTCATAAATAAAAAAGCAACGTGTGTTCAACCAAGAGACTGTTCTCCACTAAAGAAATAATAAATAAAATTATAAATTATTATTTCTTCTCCTCAAAGTGATCTCTCAGATGAATGCTTGTTTGCTTTTGTTTATGAAACAATGCATGAATTATTAAAATAAAGTTAGTGGTGTGTTCAGTTTAATGATAACAAAAACTGTTCCAGTTTCCATATGCTACAAACTGGATTTTTTAGTTAAAATATCTTCCTAAAAACTTATTATTCAACTATATTTCACTGTGAGGCAATGAAAGAAAATCACTTTTTTTCTTTCAGGTTGGGAAACTTAAGAATGGTTTGCTTCATTGAATCTTACCTTTCTAGAACGAAAATACCCCACCAGCAGCAACAAAATATTTTAGAAAAATTTATGATGCATATAACTTGCTCAAGCATTATCATGGGGTTAAAGATAAACCATCTGTCTCCAGATGTAGAAATCTTCAGATATAAAGGAACCAACATAGGCTGGGGGTGTAGCTCAGTGGTAAAGCACTTGCCTAGCATGTGTGAGGCACTGGGTTCAATCCTCAGTACCACATAAAAATAAATAAATAAAATAAAGGTTTTGCGTCCATCTACAACTAATAAAAGAAAAAAAACTTTTTTAAAAATAAAGGAACCAACATAAACCTGTCAAAAATATCATTATTACTTGTACTATTATAGTGGTAGTCCTATTATTGGTAGTATAATAGTATTAAATACTGGCAATAGTATTAATACTATTACTGCTAATGGTAATAATAATGGTTCATAGTTTTATGAGAAAATTAAAATTGTATGAAGCTTTCTTCACCTTCCCAACCAATCCTAAACCCTCTCCTGTCCATTTTGTTATTCCCCCTTTATCCTCCAGCCCCTTTGGGCCATTTTTAGGGCTCTTGGCTATGGTCAAACAGAAGTAGCAATAGGGACAAGAACTAAGTTATATCGCTGTCAAAGCTGCACATGTGGTGACATTAGTGACAGACCAGTGAAAAGATTATGAGGGGGGTTTGCCAATTCCCAGCATCAAACCAACATGGAAACAACAATGAACCTGACAGCCATCATTGCACCTGCTGCTGATCCTCCTAAACCCATATACCCTGAGCTTCTCACCACCCTTCCTGGTCTCACACCCCTCCCAGCCCCTTCCTTTAGGTCAAAGTCTTAAATACACTTCATTCCCTTCTTACCCATCTTCCATCCCAGCCATGGTCCAAGAACTGTGAAGGATCAGTGGACCATTTGCACTTTCTTGTGGAAGAAAACATACCACAGAGCTTTCAGGAGCAAAAATACTCTTTTAACTACCCCAAAAGCACGGAAGCAAAGAACATGGGGTGTTCAATCAGGTAGGTGAGCTGTTGGAACTGTGTGTGATTCCATAAGTCCTGGGTATACTCCGCTACTGGAGCACCTTGGAAGGCAGCCTGTACAGTGACAATATTAACAGACAGCTTCCAATCCAAATCCCAACTGCCATACTCAGAGCTGTGCATCCCTAAGCAAGCTATTTAACCTTTTGAATTTCAATTTCCTTATGATAAAAGAAAAATAATAATATTCTGCAAGACCTTTGGACAGAATGAAGTCTTATAAACGTAAATAAATGATAACTATCATTATAATCATGTCATATTACAGGGAGAGTTCACATGACTGTCTCCCCTCTTGAGTAGTGAGTGGTTCTGGAGGTTGCTTTACCCATCCTGGTAACCCCAGGTCTCAGAACAGGATCAGCCACACAGAAGACCAAATTATGTTTGTGGAATAAAGGAAAAAAGATTGATCAAATCACTTAAACTCAACTTATCCTAAAGAACTTACCCTTCACCCTGCCACATATCTGACTTTTCAAAGAGCCTGACATTTATTCCATAGAACATGATACAAGATGCCCCTTGCACAAGTGAATCTTTGGTTGGCCTGTATATTTATCAGGCAATTTAGCAGAATTCTGGAAATACCCAGGAAAGTCACAGTCATGAGACTTTCAAATATTCTCATCTGGCTTTTTAAAATTATCATGGTTAGTAGTGTCAAACATTAAAATGTCAACTATTTTTGCCTGAAGAGAAACTTAATCTTGGATCTATCAATGCATTCTTGCAACTGGGAAACTAAATTTTATTTGAATCCCAAGGAGAAGAATGCCATTGACTTGTAAGAAATAGGCAATGAAAATGGTCATAACCCTAAAACAACTGAGACTAAGTTGATTCTGAATTATTAGATGTTGCTACTCAATATTGACCTTTCCTGAGCTTTGGATTTAAGCAAGTCACCCCATTTCTTTCATACCCTGTTCAATCACCAGCCATTTACTGAGCACCTACTATATACCAGCAAAGCCTGGCATCCCCCAGGCAAGATCCCTGCGCATTTCCATCACATTTTGCCAAGGCAGAGTCATTTGAACTCGGAGGAAAAACAGAGGGAGGGCGAAGTCAGTTGTTTTAAGGAAAAATGTTAATGAAGTGAAGGCCAATTACTTTAAATTAGAAAGATATATGAAATGAAGCAGAAAAGGATGTTATTTGTAGCAAAAGCAAATACAAAGTGCATTTTACTGAACCCAAAACATACGTAGCAGTTCTAAGTTCAAGTTGACCATAGGGTTAGCAAACTGCAGCCGCAAGGGAGGAGCCCTGAGAGCACAGAACTACTTTATAGCTGAGACTTGCATACAGTCTTTTTTGTTCTGTGCAACTCTGCAGTGAAAAAAAGCAGACAGGCCAGATTTTAAAGTCCCATAATAGTGAGTAACTTTAATTAAAGTCTCCACAGGCTCACAACTTTGTGGTGCCTGGGGATTTTTCAATTCTGCATTATCAACCAATCCGAACAGAAAGAGAGAGCAAGTGAAAGAAATTGATTTAAAAACATGACAAAAAGTCAGTTTAATATAAACATCATAAATATAATATGAACAAAGCTGGAGGAGGGCCAAGTGGCTTGGCAGGGATCCAGGTACAGACAAGGTTGTGGGAAAGTGAGTGGAAATCTGGGTTCAATTTGCTTAAACAACACAGCTGGGCTGAGATGGTTCTCAAAAGTCTTAAGTGTGAGGGCCTGAGGGAAAGTTCTGGAAAAAAATCCAACAAAAATAGTCCAATGGACTTACTGGTTTTCCTCCCCACCCCCAATACTGAGCCATGTATTTTCTCCTCCACCAACCATCTTTGAGTTTCTGACACCTGACACTCTGAGATGACCAGAGAGGGAAGACCTTTGCATTTTACCTTCAGCTCTGTCACTACCTGCTGTGTGACCTCAGGGAAATCAGCATCCTTGCTACTCAAGTCCCCTCCTCTGAGACATGAAGGGGCTGAGATAGGTGTTCCTGAATGTCCCTCCTTACTCTAAAATGTCCTCATTCTGAAATCTGCATAGAAAACTATGCCAGAAAAGAAGGATTGTTTGCTGGGGAAACGGGACACTCGTTCCGTTATCAACAGAGGTTGTCACATTGCTTCCACTCTGGCCTCAGTGAACCTTCATGGACCACTGGAGCCTGTTCTCATTTCTAAAACATGTTGGTCCCAGGCCAAACTTAGCCTTAGTTTGTTACAGAAGACAGACCGCTGTCTTTGCCTTAAACATCCTCTGTATGTCAGACTAGGACAGAGTCCCCACTACAGAAGGAGAGAAAAGTGTCCCCTGAATAAGACCAAGAGGCTTGTCACCATGGTCATATCTAATTGAGGCCTTAAAGAAATCAGTTACATTAACAAAGATCCAGAAACTCACAGTCCAAAAGGAAACAGGTTGTGAGGGTTGGAATTAATACAGATAACAAAGCCTGTCTGATCTGATGAAAAGAGACAGTACCCATTTGGGCTAAGAATCTTACAGCTCGCTGAGAGAAGCTCCCTGTGACATACTGTCCCTAAAGGACAGGGATGAACACTGCAGCTGAGTTCACCTGGCAGGGGGCACTGCAGTGCACAAGGATCTGGCCCTGCTGCTGTTCGCAGCAAGGTTTTCATTCCAATTATCATTATTACTAATAATATCCATTGCCAGTGTGTGAGTGCTGATTACAGAGCCCTGAGCTTCCCAGGTGTTGGCTCATTAATCCCCATGGCAACCTTACAAGGTATGTATTATTATTCTCCCATTTTACAAATGAAGAGATTAAGGATCTTTTGCCCCCAGCCACATAGCTGGAAAGCTCTGGTCTTTGGGATACCAAAGCTATGCCCTTGAGCTTCCTCTCCACTACCTCCATTCACAGAGGCATTTATAGAGCTTCCCACTGGGTGCTGTACTTAACCCCAAAGAGGATGGTGAGAGAATGAGATGCCACACGACCCTCCAGAGCTCACAGTCCTGGAGGGACGGCATGGGATCCCCCCAAGTACCACAACCTGTGGGCCCAACCGCTCAATTCTCACTAAATCTCAGGACATAGATTGTAGTAAGTGCTCAACAGGGAAGAATAAAGGGAAATGTGAAGAGGAGGGGGGAAGAGAGGGAAGGAGAATGGGAAAGCAGTCAAATCCAAGGCATATACTAGTTCACCAGATAAATAAGCCAATCAGCACTCATAATCCACAGGAAAGCAGATGTCACACATAGATTCCAGAAGCTCTCCCCTGGGCCCCTGATAGCTCCTCTATCACCATAGAGATGGTTTTCCTATCAGTAAATACAGTGGGAACACATGTAACTCGTGGGATTTTGTTTTAAATCAACTCATTGTGCTTTTTCTCTGTGAACCCCAGAATATGACAGTAGAACTACTTGGGGTAAGGGGATTTAAAACATGGAAGAATAAGCTTAGAACTGCAAAAATAGGATCCTTCCATTATTACAACACCCCCCCACACACACACACACACACACACATGATAGGACCTGGCTTTTGTAGCAAAAATATGGCCTGCTTACCTGGAGCAGGAGGCAGGATGACTGGATAGTTTTCCTCTTTAGAGGTCTCACATTCCTTCAGCTTGTTCTTTAGGGCCGCGATTTCTCGGCGAATGGCAAGGACATTGTTTTTGTCTAGTGTCTCCAGATCCTCTACCAGGAGAGACATATTCCTTATCTAAGGAAATAAAAATTCAGAGTGACTTTATGTTATTGTGCAATTTCTTTCATAAACATTCCAGGGCTGAATTTGTCATTTAGTGAGACATCGCTACAGAATACACCAGAGATTCTTCTGAATGGTTTCATTTGGAAGAATACATTTTATGGTTTAGTGTGAATGCCTGTCAGATCTCAGGCAGATGTGTGTGACAAGAAGAAAATGGCAAAGATTTTTAACAGCTTTAATAATAGAGCACGGACTCATTCTAGGCATCTACAAATGTCCATTAAAGTTCATTTCTAATAACCTTCCCCTATAAACTCGTGTTTACTCATGTTGTCTTATAATTAAGTTTCTAATGAATGATGAGGGCCAGAGAAAACTTAAATTCAAAATACGTAACTAGAATTGTCAATTATAGCCCATGTCATGACTGTGCTAGTAAATTCTCGTTGATATAAATTACCCAACCGTAACATTAATGTGATGGTCTTTATCCACATATCTTAAAAGCCTTCACTAAAGCATACTCACACACACACACACACACACACACAAAATATTCTTAAAGGAGGTTGCCAGTATGTGAGAAGAATTCCAAGAAGGACCAAGGATTAGAAGGCTGTACAAAAGGAAGAACAGACCTAATGTGTCCACAGTCAAGTAGACTGTGGATTTCTACTACCATGAAGATAAATCCAGAGCAGAAAACACACCCGCTCTAGCCATGGTATGGACAGTTGCTCAGATTTATGTCACCTCCTTTCTAAAGAACTCAAAGGCCCTGGAGCAGGGTTCTAATCATTAAATGACCTGTCTCTCAGTCAATGTGTTCCCAGTGTGCTTAACTAACTGTACAAAAAAAAAAAAATAGGCCCAAACATAGAATGTGTGACATGATTGTGAGAAAGGAGCAGACTTAGAACTGGGGAGACGTTGGTATCCAAGTCCTCACATTTGTTCATAGTCACTGAAGATAATTTAGTATTGACCCACTGAAAAGGGAAATCCTTCCTTACCTCCTCTTCCAGCTGGTCAACAATTTCTGTGCTTCCAACAAAATTCTCCTTCAGCCGTATGATCAGTTTCTTCATCTCGCTCACTTCTATCTTGATCAGCTCAAAGTCCAGTTCTGTGTAAGAAATGCTATCCTTCTCCATGATCTCTACTCGGACAGTTAGGTTTAAGAGTTTCTTTTCATACACACTGATTAATTGAACATATTTCTTCACCTGAAGAGGAATCAAAAGTCAGTTCCCAAAGTAATATAAAACATTATTCCTCCACTTCCAAACCCTGGAAGGCTATTTGCAACTATTTGATTCCTGTCAATCACTATAGGTTTTTCCTTGTGTTTTGTTGTTGTTGTTGTTTGTTTGTTTTTGTTTCTTGGTAAGGAAATGAATCAAAAATGTATTTAACTAGATTCTTTTTTGTTAACCCAAATGCAAACTAAAAAATTTAATTGCAAGCGATTTTGCACTTATACTAAAAATAATTTGCCTCAAAGTCATTATTCACGTATATATTTTTTAATCTCCATTTCAATGCTTGAAGATATTAACTCCTCAAACTGGATCAGAGTCTCTTGCCATCCCTCCTCCTCTCAATTCATTTGCTCTAATCAGGGTTTCTGAACCTGAGCTATTGACATTTTAGTAGATTTATTTCTGGGGGGTTGCTGTGCTGATAGCTACACATGCTAGTAGTGCCTCCTGACTCTCCATTGTGATATCCAGAAATATCTCTGGACATTGCTAAATGTTCTCTGGAGAGAAATTACCACCACCACCACCCTCCCTTTGTTTAGAACCATTGCTCTAAATGTAGGTATTTTCTTGAAGAGGGAGAAATATACTAAGTAGCATTCCTTCTTTGGTACCGTTTTAGCAATGAGTCCCTCTGCCCTTTACAAAGTCCCATGAAGGCCCAGCTTACCACACAATATCTGAGTGTATATGCAACAGGAAAGTGCACATTCCATTAAGTGCGCTCACATTTATTCCAAGAACTGATTATTGCAATCAGACCTTTAAATTACACATTTGTTGCATATATTTGAATGTCTGATCATTAAGTTAAAATACTTCCAAAAATTCCCTTGGTGGTTTAGTATATAATTGGAATCTCCAAATGGATATTTCAATAAACTGTTGGTGGCACTTTCCATATCTGATCTCTAAATGAAATGTCATGGCTTTTTAAAGGACCTGCTCATTAAAAGTTGCTGGATTTACTTTCTTTTAAAAAATATGAACATAAGTGATACTTCTGCCCAAACTGTGCTAATGTCAAATGGCTGGTCCACAGTGCCTGGATGAATTCGGAGCCAGATGTTGACCTCTAATCCTTCTAATACCAAAAGCAGTCCTAACTTCTGTCATTTTAGCCTTTCCACTTAACCCCACTGTGCAAATTAGAGTAGACTCAGAGGCCACAGACCTAAAGGGCCAGGGTTTCAGGCAAAGAGGATTTTAATGAAAAGTTAAAGATGCAGCCCTTGGCACTGCTATCTCCTCAGGCAACTGATGTTCACTGCCATCAGGTGTGCCATCCCTAAGAGGCTGAAAGGCTGGTGACATTTTGGTTGATAAGAAGGTTTTCAAAAAAAATTATGTGTGTGTGTGCATATATATGGGTAAGACTAAACGAGTCCCCCTCAAAAATACACCCAGAGATATAGAGTGGCCAGGTTTCAGTTTCCACCAAATTGGGCATAAAACCTTGCCTGTGATACAAAAATAATAATAAAGCACCAAGCCATTGCAGAAATGGAAGTTTGAGAAATGAATATGCTTGTTGGCATTTGGTCTTGCCAGCTCTTGGAACAAATGAAACACCCCTAGCTTTCCTGGAACATTTTGGTGGCATGTCACAGCTGTTGTTCTGCAAAAAATGAGTGATTCAACTGTCATCTCTACTAAATAAAATGTGGCTCTCCCTGATTCTCACAGAAAACCAAGGCATCGCTTAGAGTTTGTAACCTGTGAGAATGTAGGTTGTGCCTGCCTTACCTCTGCTACAAAAGATAGTCTCTAAAAATCTGTTTGGAGGAAAATTTTATTTTTGAGGTTCTATAAGCTGATGAAGAAAGCTCAGTGGTGCTCAGGAAAATTGGAATGATCCTCAGAGTTACAGAAAACAGGAGAAAATTTGAAAAACCTAGAGTATGAACTTTACTGATTTAAATAGATTATTAGTATAGACCTTTCACATATATGGATTTGTAGTTTGAGAGAGCCTGGACAATTCTGAGAACATCCAAGCTCTACTTGGGAGATGCAGGCTCAGTAGAAGCAGTCCAGCTGTGTCTAACCTACATTCCTGGCACTTAATACATTTAGTGGATTTATTCCTCTTCTAGAAAATAGTTATATTAAAAGCAGTGTTCCTAAACAAAGAGAAGGTGGTGGTAGTGGTGGTGGTGAAGCTGGTGGTACTTTGTGTCCAAGGAACATTTATCAGTGTCTGGAGACAAAACTGGGGGTAGATGGAAGTTACTGGCATTTAGAGGTCAGGGGTGTTGTAAAACAATCCTATCAAGAATATGAATCTAAGCCCAAGAGGACACATACCTGTGTCAAAATCTTTACCTTGAAATTTATAATTACTACAAATTTGAATATGGAAGACTCGTGTGTGCTAGCCTTCAAACCACTGGCCTAACATTCAGAGCTTCTGCTTCATTTTGTTTGTTATGCACTTACTATGTCATCAATGAAGAATCAAAGTCTGGAAGTTGTTTTGTCGTGGTTGCTATTGTATCTTAAAATCTTATAATTAAAAATGTAGTGTGGCTAGCTATTAAGTAGTTTGTCTGGTTCATATTTGTAACAATTTCACAATTCCTTAAAATCTGTGATCATAACTATGGCCAGATTATTTGAAATAAGCAAATGTTCTTTGCAACATACTGTTATTTCCAATAAGTCCTTAAAAATGAATACAACTAGGTTAATTGAAGCTGATGTGACCATCAGACATGGAGCACTTGGATGCTACACCCACCTGAGCTCAAATCTGACTTCAGTATTTAGTGGGCAAATCACTTAATTTCTCTAAGCTTTAGCTTCCTCCTAAAACTGAAGGTAATATTATCAAGCTTACAAGATTATTGTGAAGACTAGAGATGATGTGCATTAAGTGCCTAGCTAATGGATGCCCCCATACATTATAGAAATTAATAGAGAAACAGTGATCTCAGTGTTTTTCAATCTGACCTTTTAATTTATTATATTTCACTGCACAAAGCATTGCTCAATCAATGTTGTTTGTTTATGGGTTGCCTAAATGTCTCCCAGGCTGCCTCAACCTTCTCATGCATGAGGATCTATTAGCAAATGTGTCATATTAAATAACTTGCCCCAAAGACCATAAGCCTCCAGAGAAAGAAAAAATCCTGAGCTGCCTTTTATGCTGTCTCTTTCCTAAGTACAGTCACAAAAGGACATGTCATAAACAACAGAAAAGTATAAAATGCTTTCAGCATCGTATGCAGAGGCAGCTCCCTGTCTTCTCTGTGTACTGGCACATAATGAATCAATGTAAGGCCGTCAAAACCCTTTTTGGCTGGCCTGCCCCAAACGGGCATTCCCCCAGGCTCCTAGATAAATGGTGATTTCCAAGGCAACCTAGGGACAGCTATAATAATTCACCTGGAAATTCAAAAGCCCTCAGCTGAAGAGATAACTTTGAATTCAAAGGCGTTACTGACCTACTGCATCTCATCTTGAGTCTGCACTGAAGGGTAACAGCCTGGCCAGGAGGAAGGAGAACTTTGATGATGGTAAATGCTCAAATTCCTGATCGGGCTTCACCAGCCAAGAGAGATGACCTTGGGCAAGTTCCTTTATCTCTATAAACCTCAGTGTTTCTATCCCTAAAATGGGAGGAAGGACCCCCTGGCCTCTCTCCTTAAAGGACTTGCTAGAGAGGAATATAGAATTGGAAGCATATGGAAAAACACAAATGAAAGCTGCTACTGTTATCACCTGTCACATCAAATCAATTATGTAAATCCCAACTGTCAGGTAAGTTTCTTCCTTGGGTCTCAATCACAATCTTTTTTTTTTTTTGGGGGGGGGGGGACCAGTTACTAATACTTATGGGACTAAAAGTTTTCCTATCTACTCTGCCTTTCTTCCCTGTCAATTATTAGCAAAGCAGATGCCACCTGCACCACCCGCCCCATACCTACCTTTCAGGATTGAAATTAAATGTCCCATATTCATAAACCTGGCAATCCACCTACTCTCCCTGGAGCAGCAAGAGGTTTCAAACTGCCCTTCACACTCCTGGCAGCAACGACGACATGCAAATCAGTGGCTTCCACTATTTCAAAGCAAATGACTCTAACTGAAAAGATCTTTACCTAGGATTTTCCTCTACTTGTTATGTTTTTATGCATAACTTCTTATCTGTACTTGATTATGCTGGAATAAGGCTATGAATATTAATGGTTGGAATTTATAATTTAGTGATGTGCCTTTTCTACTGATTAATTCAAGGACGTTTTATTTCTTAAGAAGCTAGGTTCCTGGAGTAGTCAAACACATTTTCTTGGTCACTTATTTAAACTTAGAATATTTATCTACCAATTCAGGTTGAAAGCAGGGTCTCAGCCTCACCATAATTTTTGTCTTAAAGGATAACTATGCTGGATGTTAAGGTGGTGAAGCTTAAATTTCTGAAGAAAACTTATTTTGAGTCTTGCAGTAAACCCAGAGCTCCTTGTAAATTAATGGAGTTGTATTAAATAATGCATAATATGATTATACTCTAGCTTGGACTTCACCTGTGCAGAAAATAGGAGGCTTTCTAATTGATTTGTAACTTGAATGAAAATCCGGAAGGGGTCAAAAGTGGAAGGCTAAGTCACATTGCTCCAGCCAGCTGGGAGAAATGCAAAGTGTTGAGGATAGCTTCCTCTGGCCAGAGAAAAGCAGGAATCAGAGGCTTCCAGTTAAGTTTTTAAGAGACCTGTGAGTGTAGATTCAAATTCCCAAGGAAGCCTCCAATTCTGATCTAATGCTGGACCAGAATGAAATGCTCTTGTGGAAACAACAGAAGACAAGTACCAAAAAACAAAGGAAGGAAGAGAGCAAACTGTAAAGATTTAAATGTGTATGTGTGTGTGCACGTGCATGCGTGTGTGTGTGTGTGTGTGTGTGTGTGTACACATGCATGAGTGCAAGCACAAGAGAAGGGAAAAGAGGGAAGGAAGGGGAATGAGAGGGAGAAGATTTGGGGGAGGGAGAGGGGAGGAAAAAGGAAAAGAATAAAAAATCATCCAAAAGGAAGAGAAGACCAAAAAGAGTCAAAGAGAAGAGGAGGAAGAGAGGAGGAGGAGGAGGGGGAGGAGGAGGAGGAGGAGGAGGAGGAGGAGGAGGAGGAGGAATCAAGAAGAAAACAGAAAGAAAGATTAGAAGGAATAGACAAGAGACAGGATTGAGGCAAAGGGAACAAGAAAGAAAAGCAGGAAGGAAATAGAAATAGAAGGAAAGGTGAAGGAAAGAGAAAATAGACTAAAGAGGATAGAGGAGAGCAAAGAAAAGAAGGCAAAGCTGGATGAAAGATCTAGAAGAACAACAAAGGAAAGAAGAAACAGACAAACGAAAACTGCAGAGCTGGCATTGCAGGGAGAACTTGCAGCCTCTTAATGACTCATGAGGACCACAGCCCTGGAGCGAGCCTGCTGTGGACACCCTCCATCCTGCCTTCTCACCCCCATGAGGAACTACAGAGATGGACTGTGAACGAATGCTAGGATGCCATAAGATATAAAAGTGCTATCTTTGGTACAGTGAAGAATGATTGCTTCTAATATACCAAACAACCAAGTGCTTTGTTTTGCTTCTTTGCTATTTGTTCTTAACAGATATTGTCTTAAAAGAAAATGCTTACTTTAGAAAGCTCCTTCTCAAACTTCACAGACAGGGTGTGAGCTATGTACTCCAAGCGTTCCACTCGGTTCGCAGGAAAGGTGGTGTCTGGCAGAGAAACAGAGCACTGGCAGGTTCCACGTTCATCCACAGAGCCGGTGAAATTGGAAAATGACTGTAGATAATAATAAGGTAGACATCAATAATAAGCTGGAAAATGAGGGGTTTTTGGCAACAGGAGTGACAGAAATTGGCTTATCAAATGAGGGCTTGGAGGCAAGCAAGTGGAGTCCAACATATAAACAAATAGGATCACAGAAGCAAGCTGAAACTGGGATGTTGTCATGAGATGGGGACCTCACAGAGCATTTAACCACATCTCTAGCTGTTGGACTATGCCACTGTGTCCCCAGCCTTTACCCAAAGAAGATTCTTCATTCTTGAGGAGTCTTAAAGGAAATCATTACCATCTATACACAACTTACACAAAGAAAGGGAAAGAAAGAAGTGATGAGAATCCTTAAATTTAAATATCAATTCTACCACTTCCTGATGTGACTTCTTAAGTCTCAGTTTCCTCATCTGTAAAACAGAGATGAGATTGTCACAGGATTTGTCCTCAGGATTAACCAAGTAATGTGAGCCAAGTTCCTGGCACCTAGTAGGTGATCTATTTGTTGTCAATTTTCTCTTCTGTTAAACATCACCCTTCCCTCACCTTTTATCCCAATCCCAATCTAATTCATCCCAAGTGGGATGAGGAAGCCGCCAAGGGTGTGGGCTGGGGAAAATATACAATGCAAATTCATCTTCTCTCTTCAGCTGCGAAATTGTATAATTAACATTCTTCAAAATGGAAATAAATACACCATTGGTTAAAAAACTGAGCAGTGTATGAGTTTTGGAGATTTTGTGCAAATGTTTTAAATAAAAGTTCTCCAGCTTACCACTTGCAGGAAAGTCATTTTAAAATATTTGATGTTTCTTTAAGATATTCAGGCTCACACTTTGGTGCCGCTGCATATTTTAAAATGACAGGTTTGAAAGATCCTGTTTTTCTTTTGTCCCCTTTGAACTACCCCAAGGGGATGCTGGCACAATTAACATTTTTTTTATTACTACCATTGCCTTACAGAGTGGGACTCTCAGCAGCCGACTGTCTGTGCCTTTTAATGATCTCATCTGAAGGCCAGCCCAAAGCTCACCTGTGGAGCATCAGCCTGAAGGGACTTTTCATAGAACTATGAAGGAGAGAGCAGTGGTTTTCAGAGTCTGAAGACTCAGGCCATGACTCTCAACGTTCAAGTCAGCCAGCTGCAGCTGAGGTTGCGTTCTTTCTGCATTCTCTGTGTGTTCTCTACCCACCTCCAAGACTCCTGAGCAAGCCTGGCCTAGATGCATATGCCATCAGCCTAACCCAGCTGTGACCTCTGGGCTAATTAAGACTTTTGCAACCAAGGGATTTTTTTGTTGTTGATATTGTGTTTTTACTATTTTTTTTTAAATTTAGCCTAAGTTTCTTTAAGATAATCAGAAAGGGAGAAAAAAAAATAAAAAACAAAAAGTGTGTCTCTCAAACTCTCCTTGCCAGGTAATTTCTTGATATTGGCCTCAATTTTCTTTTCTAATCACATCCCCACACCTGTAGAAATCAGAGAGTAAGGAAGAGGAACAAGCAGTATGCTAAAGATGGGAAAGGGGATGGGGTGGGGAGGGGAGGAGCCTTTGCCAGGGATGAATCAGGACAGGAGGAGATACACCAGCCTGTCAGAGAGGCCAGCCTCTCTCAAACTCAGCTCTATCACTGTCTAAAATTAGAAAGACTCCAATTCGAGCATGCCAGGTCTTTTATAGGAAGGACCAACAAATCACAGGCTTTTGAAGAAATAGCTTATTATAATAACTGTCTAGCAATAAAAAAAAAAGAAAAGAAAAAAAATCTTGCATTGCAATTGACAAGAGGAGGTTAATTAGCTGCCCAAGACAGGGTTGGACCATCTTAGATTTCTCTGAAAAGCTCTGTCAACTCAGGAGACAGCAGATATCATCAAGTAGTCTCCAGACATTCAACTAGGAACCACTAGCTAACAAATTTTAGTCTTGAAGATCACCTGAAAGACAGACAAATAATTACGAGTCTTGCTGACAGCCATTCCACTGGTTTCTATTGAACATCTCTGTCCCAACATTGCGGGCTTCTCTCCCGCTTATCATCAGCCCAGCATGCTCAGCTGACATCAAAATGGTCCATAAGTTTGATCGGTGTCTCCCATTAGAGATATTTCTGCTCCTTGAATCCAAAGACAATGAAGCTAATGGTGATGAGTCTCTCTCTGTGGTGAATGCTTAAACTCTACTTGAGTGTAACATGAGGACTGAGAGACAAAGACAGATACTTGTCCCTTTGGCCTTTGGAAAGATATGTGATCCCCCTGGCGGAGGGCAAATAGGGTCCTGTGTGACCCACAAAACACCCAGCTCTGCTTGGTTCCCACTCAGGACATGTTCAATTAACATTTACTGATGTATACGATATGTAAGACTCTGGCATAAGATGATTAAGACCAATTTCAGCCAGGAATCAGGACCACCATCTTTATAAAATTCTTAAGGTTTGTATGTTTTCCAACCATCCCAGTAGTCTGACTCATTGTGGTTCTGATTCTGCTAGTTACTGCACAGAGCAAAGCATCAAGCCCTTTCCTTGTCTATAAAATGAGGCTGTGAAGCAGCCCCTTCTTTGGAGGCATGCAGAGTGCTCTGAGCCCTACAGCAGAAGGTGCAACTCACATTTGTGATTTAAGGTTGCAAATGGCTCTAATTAGTAGCCAAGTCTAAGTGCCCACAAAGATTCAAGGCATAAAATAATGGTACTCAACATTTTCAGCGTACAGAAAATGATACGTTTGGAACTTGCTCAATGACAGTTATAAAAGGGTTTTCCACCACTTTCCAAAGAGCTCATCAAGCTGACAGCCAGCCCCAGAAAATTAGGTTGATAGTGGAATTGACACCCAGTCCACTATAAAAAAAAAGAGATTGGAGTTGTAACACTGAATCACCAGAGGGAGATAAGTAAACTAAGAAGGTAATTAGAACCTCAAGATACAATTTAACCACCATTTCTTATCTCCTTTTAAATATTTGTCTTCTTACCAGATAATAGGCATTTTTAATTTCTCTTTTTTCTTGACCTATATTTTATTTTATATTATTTTAGCTGATCTTCCCCAAATGCTGGTTTTTGATTCGTGATAAAGCATCATAACAAATTATTGTTTGTTAACCTCACTTTGAAAAATATGCTAACCAATTCTAATTGTCCCCAGAAATTGTTCAGTATCATGGGATAAAATTATGCATCTGATTTCTGGCTACAAAGAATGCTTGTGCATATTCATGATTCTGAAAACTTTCTCCTCTTTAAAATAAGGAATTTTCATCTATTCTCCCTAGAGATAGAGAAAGCTGTGTACAGAGAGATGATATTCTTTATAAACACCCTGGAAATGAGTTAAAAGCAGGGAGAAATAACTGATTTTGAGTTATATAACTTGCCAGCTTAGTGACTTTAAGCCAAAGATTTTACTTTACTAAGCCTCCGCTTTAACATCTCTAAAACGAGATCACTTATTTTACCTGCCTCTTAGGGTTAAATAATATATATTATATACTTAACCTGGTCCTGGTCTTTTAGGTACACAGTGACAATTATTGCTATTGTCTTCCTCTAGGATCTCTCCAAACCATTTGCTAGTCATCACATTTTCATTGTCTACATATTCGGATGGTGCCAAAGAAAGCAAGCAAACAGTATCCCCTTCACCCCTTCTCCCATTCACCCCTTCATTCAGAAGTGCTTATATAAGTAGCAACCTAATTTGTGAATGAAGATCCTAGAAGTGCAGAAGGAGGAGGTTTGATGGAATCTGGACCTCCAACCCCAAGTTTTAATGAAGCAAGGTTAGCCTAGGAAGTTTTATAGAGTAGGCCTCTTGCAGAAAGGCTCAAAGAAGACACAGATAGGGCTAGGGATGTGGCTCAAGCAGTAGCGTGCTTGCCTGGCGTGCGCGCAGCGCTGGGTTCGATCCTCAGCACCACATACAAATAAAGATGTTGTGTCTGCCAAAAACTAAAACAATAAATATTAAAAAAAAAAATTCTCTCTCTCTCTCTCTTTAAAAAAATTTATTTAAAAAAAAAGAAGGCACAGATAACTGTTTTGTTGCTCCCAATCTCTCACCCCTCCTTGCCTGTTCTCGTTTCTTTAAAGGAGATCTAAAGAAGACTCATCCTCCAAGGGGCTGGGCTAACTATGTGTCCTACAAGGTAGCCTAGCTGGACCAATCCCTTTTTAGTACATGGGGGTTTTGTTGGTTTATTTTTTTACTGTAGTTGTTTGGCACTGGAAATGGACTTAAGGATTCCCTATAAAGAAGATCCAAAAGAGTTAAAATTCCTCAGGAAATGTCCACATGTAGAGGCACTTGCTAAAAAACAAAAATTCCTCCCCTTACTTCTCTCTTCTTTACAAACTAAGGACAGATAAACTGCCTGGACTCCTCCTGGAGCATCAAGGTAACTCCCTTGAGGGTTACTTTTTACCATGATAGGGGTCCCTTCTTGCCAGCAAATCAATTTAACAAACTTTCCTGGAGCTGCTACTTACAGGGCCCCTTCCATAAGGATTCCTACCCCAGACTGCATGTGAGAATCACCTGGGGATTTTTTTTAAATATCTGATATTTAAATATCTAAGTAGGATAGAACCCACACATTTGGGCCTTGGGAGTCTCATGGCCACTGGTCCTAATGTGCAGACTGGTTTAAGAACCTCTTTAAAGCATAGATTCTTTCCCCAAAGCCTCCAGCTGGAGAACTAGGATGTTCTCTCTTGCTAACAATTTAATTATTTCACCTAGGTTTTAATTCATTTCCAGGGCACCTATAGTGAACAGCAAGAGCCATAAATCTTTTAGAGTGCCCAGGTCTATCCATCCATGAAATTGTATTTAGGTCCCCAAAAAGCTAAAGGAAGGGAATGAACACAACTCACTCAGACTCTGGGGCCCCCTTACCTGGGGTGCAGCATGGCCTTTTGGCCAAGCTGTGGCTGCAGCATGGCCTTTTGGCCAAGTTAAAACTGAAGTTGGAGCTACAGTCAAAGCCTCCGGAAAGTCAGAGGTCCAGAGGCTCCGATTCTCCAATCCTCCAACAGCAGAGCTGAGAACGAACAGATGGGGTAGGAGGAAAGCAAGGCCCCACCTCATCTTGTCCTCTTGACAGGATCCACTGGCTTCTGCCCAGAGCTCAGGGATCTCTTATAGTGCCCAGTGGGGATTTCCCCATGGCAAGTGTGTGGGGAAAGAGGAAGCAACCAGGGAACATATGACCCAGGAAGGTCAGGATGCCCAGTAACTTGAGTCATATCCACATCTCACCGAGCCCTACTCTATAACCTACCCTTAGATCCAGATTATCCCTTGACAAATATTAACTCAATTGTGCTTTTTCAAGCCCAATATCTGCTTACCAACTCGGTATGCCCTTTAAAGAGATGGGGTCAAAGATAATCTCTGTGAATAAGACAGAGTATACAAGTTCCAGGAAGGAAAAGCAATTCTGGGTCCTTTGTCTGGAAGCCACTTCTAGGTGTGATCTCACACTTCACTGAATGCTGCTTTCCAGAGAAAGTGAGGGCGCTCACTTTAGAGACCCCGAGTCCCTCCCAGTATGCCTGAAGCTTCCCTCTTCAGTGTTCACTGTCCAGGTTGTCTCTGACCATTGCAGTGTCTGCTTCTAGACTAAGTTCTATAAGGCACACTTTGAGGCACACTTGTTGAGCCACCCAAGAGTGTCTTCTTATTTCATGTGGGTATGGGGATTAGAGGCAAGGATAGGAGCATTTTCTCCAAAGCTTCCTTGGAAACTGTAGGGTCTATCTATATTATCTGCCCCAAAGGCCATCTGTGGTGAAGATGAAGGTCAGCAACTGGTGACTATGGTCAGCTTTCAGTGGGAAAGACATGTATTTTTAAGCAAACACCTCTCATATTCTGCCCTATGTAGGATTGTCAGATTTAGCAAATAAAAATAGAGATCCCCAGTTTCAATTTGAGTTCCCTATAAATTACAAAAAAGTTTTAATATTAGTATGTCCCATGCAATATTTGGGTCATACTTATATTAAAATACATGTTGTCTATTTAACATTCAAATTAAACAAGATATACTGTATTTTATCTGGGAACACGAATTTTGGAGCAGAATGTTGACTATGAAATTCATTGTTCTCTCTTGCAAGCAAATCAGTCTTGGCTTCTTTAGCCCAAAGTTCTAGCATCATCCATGCACAGTCTAAGAAAGAGAAAGCACAGAGCATGTATGAGAATGAAAATCAGCCCACTGAATCCATTATTCTGAGGTTGAATGCTATGAATATGGAGAAGAGCGTGTCTCTACCTTCCATCTCGATTTCCCTCTTTCTCCTGATTCCCACCAAAGCAAAGGGCAAATGTGTTCTCATTTGCTAGTAGCCTCTGCCTGAGACTATAATGAGCCTTCCCTGTCCCTTTTTTCAAAGAGCGCGTTGGTGCCCTTGTCAGGGGGAAAAAAATCTCATTAACAATGGCCGCCCGTCGTCATGACTACCTTTGAGGGCTTCTATGGCCAATTCTTTAGAAGACCCCTTACCAGAGGGGTTATATTCCTGCAGAAATGGGGCATCAGTTTTCCCCACACACAAAGGTGTCTTAGCCAAGAAAATCACCACCCCACTGTGCTCATAAGCTGCTTGATTCCTGTATGCTTCCATAGTTTTCAGAATAAAACTTTAATCTATTTGGTTACCTCAAATGCACAAAAGCATTGGTGATGCCTCAGTAATGAGATTATTAATAATAATTGTTTGATCAGTTCCTCTGCAAATACCTTTGTCCTCAGAAACAGCAAACCTCCTGTTATTTTTCAGCCTCAAAGACAGGAGAAAATTATCAGGGCTGCAAAGCAAACACTGTTTTATTTATAAAAATGTATTCCAACCCTGGGCTGTCTCTAGAGTATGGGGTCACTGAAATTCATTTGAGTAACAGATTCCTCACTGACAGCTTGGAAAAAAGTTACTATTTATGTCCTTTGTTAGGGGAATTTCCCCAAAGCACTACTTCCTGTACAATTGTACAGGGAGAAT